ATCCAGAGTAGCGGAGAGAATCTTAGACTACAATGTCCCTGCAACGCAATCCAATGGCCGTCGGAGACTGGAGCAGAGGTGAAAGACCCCCTCTCTATCCGCGACTCAATCCAACCCCCTAAGCGGTACGTAGTCCGTTACCTAGACTGTACCTGGCCCCAAGCCGCATTACGCGTTGCTTTCGGGTTTATATAGCCTGCCCCAGCGCAATCCGATCAACAAGCCAGCAGCTTGTCTCCGTGACCAACACCTAGAAGGAAGAGGGTCTACTTTCACTCTCTCTTTGTAACATTCAAGGCACGAGGCAGGAATCACGTCGCGCGTCTTCCTTTCTGACGGCTTCCTTGTTGAGCGTTCTCCCATGAATGCCGACACTTTCAACGCTGGACATTGATTGATACTTTAAGAAGGGCAGAGGGCGGATCTGAGGCGAGAACAGTGCCAAGGTTCCAATTGAGGTACTCAGGCCAATGAACGGGGCAAAGGAGCATTCGCCAAACTCGAACGGTGAAGCCTCCGTAATGCTATCATAGACAAAGAGATAGGGCGAGCTCAACAGAACCGATGTGGACATGTGATAACGAACCTGTCACGCTCAGAAACTGGAGTTGTACCCAGCTCTTATAGTGGACTGTTTTCCAGAAATTACTTGCCACGAAAAAGACGCCAGGCCAGTGTCGGCGTTTCCACGGAGTGGCGCAATAGCGGCCAACGTTTCTTAGTAATTACGGCTCTAAGAGCGATGGGAGACAACATCCACTCCATGTAATGATAAAGGACTATCCTTGAACATAGATCCTGCCATCCCAGTTCAAATCTCGAGTGATAATCCAGAGGATTGTGGGAAACGGAAACATCCTACAGTCTAGCTCCTCTGCCATGCAGGACCTTATGTACGCCCTTATGGCCCAAAGGAGCCTGCTGGAGCAGTAATGCCAAACTTCGTAACAGAGCCCGGATTTCCGTTGTGCTATTAGGTGAGGAATAGCGTAACACACGGAAGATTACATGTCTGTGATCGAGAACGGAGCTCCTTTCTGGGAATTTCGAGATATAGTTAGCGCTTGTGCCAGTGCAATAAAGAAAAGGGAATTAGGAGCTACATCCTAACCCTCTATAATGGAAAGTCTCGGTATTACTCACTGTCTCCTCCAACGTCTGAACTAAAGATCTCTTTTACGTGCTGCCTCGAGACTTTCTTCGTTCTCCAAGACGCCATGCAAAATCTTAACTAGAGCCTGGCTTGGGACGGAGCTATACGCTCTCGTCGTCGTTTACGTGCTCTCTTCCTTCTCTTCGTCGGAGCCCGCCATTCCCAGGGTCCGCATTTCCTTGTGCCGCCTCTCTAACTCAGTTTCTGACGAAGACGCAATGGATTGACTATAGGCACGCGGCTGTGTAGTAGAGAGTCTCCGTACCGCCCCTTCTCGTCTCGTCGTGCGTCCTCTTGCCCCGCACTGCGACGTAATGGACTATCCCCCAAGGGGAGGAAATACACGACCAAGGGCCGCGATTCCAATTCGTATATAATAGACTTGAAGTATTAGACTAAAGATTCTGCAGAGTTTCTCCTTCGAATTGCCGATGAACGGGGCGAAGAAGATAAAAGGTGGCATAGCCAGGATCTTTCAGTGCATGGATACTAACCAAAACACATACCACGAACTTCTCACATAAACCTACGTCGATAGCCCAGATAAGGTAAGGTGGCTACATTATCTAATTATGAAGACTAAGGAAATATAGCCTGCGTAGACAGAATGATAACGATTTCGTTAGCATTAGATAAACAGACAGGGGGATTCCAGAATCACCAAGACGATAGGCGTTCTCGAAATGCAGACGTGAATTGGGGCAGGAATGCCTAACTACGGAGCTTCCGGAAGGATTCCTCTTACTCCATCAGCTCTGTAAGGCGGACTTCACAGGGAACGACCCCATCCCGCAAGCTCGTCATCGCTCTGGACCTCCATCACCACGCAATGCGCCTGATACGGCAGGTTAGCCTCGTTATCATCGACAAGGTTCTCAATATCGATGATCTGCAGCCCCTTGATTCTCCGCTCCATGGTCCATGGTCAATAAACATGCAGTATGACTTGCTCAAGCTGTCGTTGGATTCCCGAAAGCGTGTATAAAGAAAATATATAAAGAGGACGACAACGAAAACGACGACGCTAACTTATATTAGAGCTAGCTAGAGCCCTCTCTTCCGAGATGTGGTTAGCAGCGAAGACGTTAATGAAGCTAAGCTGAGACATGAGATTTCCCTTACCATGCACAAACCTAGTGATTGATAGGAAAGATCAAAAAATCTGCGTGGATACATCGGTGTATTCGTATGTGTAGGCTGGCACCGAAGAGCCTAGCAAGATTATCTACCTAGGGACCAGCAGCTTCTGTTCTAGCGGCTCGACCATGGATCACTAAGGGGACCCTTGGGCAGACGATGCCCATTTACAGGCAAGCCTGAAACCCTTCAACAAGTGGGGGAGGTACCAGTTATGCCAATCACGACCTCTCGCTTGCCCATCCTTCCGCCCGCAGTCATTAGGATAGAAGCAGCCAGAAACAACTTGAGAGAGAATGCCATTGCCACCCACTCGGGCGCCGAAGCCTGCGCTTCATCCCCCAAGAGCCTACAGGCTGCCCCTAATTGCGCAACTAAGACACGTTCACATGCATGTATGCTATGGGAGTGGTAAAGGGCACTGTGTCCGTTGTTCCTGTCCGTGACTAGATACAGCACTCAGGTTCGCTTGCTCTCGCTAACTCCTACCAAGCCCTAAATCTCTAGCACTATAATCTCATGATACTTACAGGATTTTAAGCACTGAATGCATCTGTGGACATCAACACTCAGAGTGGAGAGGAGGAAACGATATAGAGCGTTATCCACCACCAAAGCCGTTATGGAATACGGCAAAAGATACGAATCCACCTCTAAGATAGCACCAACTGCGGGGCGCAAAGCATGAAAACCCCAATCATTGCGACATGAATACAAACCATGAAGGCGCTCTTAAGGTTCTGCCCAGACGCAGGGTATCTTGCATACTCTGCACCAGTACACTATGTAGACTGTAAGGACGGCCATATCTATATTCTCTCCACCAAGCTCTTCTTCCCACGATGCGAGCAAAACCCCTACTTGACGTGAAATTTGGAAGACCAAACGCGCTCCATGATAGTGTACAGAACTAGGGCAGCTAGGTATTGCAGTGCGTCGGATGCAAAACGGACCCTGCCAAGAGGGTGAAGTTCACGTTAAACCAACACGCTTGTCCTCAACTCACTCTCCCTTCAGGAGTACATGCGGTACCCCTATGGGCTTCAGGGCGGCGCGGCTAGCGGCGCCGAATCCCGCTCGCCTTATGGTCCCAAGTTCTCTACGCATCCGCAGAATTGGCACGTGGCGTCGAACTGTCCTAACACTGCTACCGAGCATCAGCAAGGCCCTTGAAACGCGTGGTTTGAAACGGATACAATAGATCTCTATGCAATTAGGCTTGGATAGCCTGAGCCTAGTGTTCCTCCAGCTTGACTTAGGCTTCAACCATACAAGGGCCCCATAGAGTTGATTCTAGAGAAGCTTTTCTCTCTCGAACGCGACGCGTCCTTGGAAGCTAGCAGCGAAAGCCAGAAGACCATCACACAAGCAGCTGCCTGCTACGACGCATGCGACGACGACTATGACCGCATTGTGCACGTCATGCCGCACCGCATCGCGGATGCAGAGGGCGTCGATTTCCCAAGCCTACCAAAGGGCCGGGGGTTGATGCTGCCGGCGCTGCGGAAGCGTGAGGGTGTTACGACATGAGAGTGGGTGCTGGTGCCGAAACAGTGGCTCTCAGAGAAGCCGAAGGCTGTGATGGCATCTGCACATGCACCTGCGCCTGCGCCTGCGCCTGTACCTGTACCACAGGGCCAGAAGAATTCTCCACCACAGGATACGTCTGGAGATGAAGATGGCACTGGAAAAATCACTCCACAGCAGCTGGAGCTGCTGCCGGAGGCGCTACGCATTGCGAAGCTCGTTACTCTTGGTCTTTGCGGTGAGGTAGTGCTCCTACAGGAGCTGCGGCGTATTGCTCTTGAACTTCGTGGTGAGCCTGGAACTGAGGAGAAGAAATCCCTAATGGAGGCTGATGGAGAAAACAAGCCCACAACCACCGCCCAGGCCCAAGCCTGGCGCCCGCTACCGATGTCAGCTAGTCCGCATCCACCACACCCGCATTCGCTTGCGCATCCGCGCTCCTCTGACTTTTTATCCTCCAAGTAATGTTTATACAAAGGATATACAGACGATGTTGGGCTGAGATCATCTGCTGCTGCGCAATGATAATGAGGATAGTGTGCCGCACTTGGAGAATGCGCTTGCGTAGGATGCGCGAATACCTACGCTGAAGCGGCGGCTGCTGGAAGTTTAGATCGTAGATGCTTCTTTTTCGACGAAGGATAATGAAGCCCCTTCTGAACGTTTACCATTCTCTAGTCTACCAGCTTTCTAGACGGACTCGAGACTTCAAATCTCCTTGTCGTTTGTCCTGGATGGTTTGATAGTGCCAGTAATGTAGTATATTTGATGCGGGTAAATCCTTCGAACATTTGTTTAATTGCCAATAGTAGGGAAATTTTGTCAAAGACATTGTTGAATGAGCTTCCAGAGTCTTTCATGGGTGAAATTTGTATTGCCTTCTAATACGTAATATACGCCCTTTTTGGCCTCCAGCCGGTTACATAATCGCCTCGACAGGGCACCAGGTTGGAAGGATGCTTGACCCATCATCCGAAAATTTTCAACCTGTCAACCAGCATGAAGACGACTCGTAACCGCATTAATTTTACTGGGAAAAGAGAAGCTTCCCAGGTTGTTCGTGAGATTGTGGGGAGGTTGGTTGGGGACGGAGGACGGAGAGTGCCGGCGCTAGCCGACTTGCGCTTAGCGCGGCCCCTCCAGCCGTTGCATCATCGCGAACCGAACGACACCACCTCCATCGCACCCTCGCATCCACCTCCCCTCTCCATCTCGGCCACACATGTGTCCATCTCCATCAGATGCACCTCAACCGCCGCCGCCGCCCGCATTCGCCCCTCGTCCGGCCCCAAAGCGATCGCGCACCGAGGACGACGCTGTCTCAAGCACAAAGCGGCTGCAGTCTGACAGCGGGCGGTCCTACGCCAGCCAGAGCGGACGGTCCTTTAGCAGCCAGACACGCGAACACCTGAAGCGGTTGTACCACAAGCAGTGCTGGTTCTGTCAGGCGCCCGGCAAGCTGGCATGCTGCCACGTCGTGCCCAGACAAGACCAGGCCAACTTTAGGTCGCTCCGCCGCCTTGGTCTCGTCAACCTGCAAGCCGCTAGCGATACCGAGAATGCGCTCTACCTATGTGGTAGCTGCCATCCCCAATACGACGACCAGTTCTGCCCGCAGCTCGTCATTGTCCCTAAACACCTCGATTACTTCTTCACCGCCGAGCTGCTGTGGCAAGCCGACTTCCCGAAGACCGGGCAGGCCCGCGTACCTCCCACCCCCGCCACATACCTCTCCCACTGCGAAGAGCAACACAGCGAGCCTGGCATGCTCCAGGCCATCGGGGGACTATACAAGGCCTACATGGATGTCAACTTCCTCCCGCCAAGCAGCAATCCGCTGCATGCGTGCGAGCGCCAATGGCACGGCGATCCCATGGCTATTGTCTATCGTGCTATCCAGGCCGCTTATCGAATCGTGCAGCCTACGCATTTTCCCGCCGACGTCCGCACCTCTATCCTGCAGCTGCATGCTCTCTACGAGAAGGGAAATGCGCTCCTAAGGCAGGATGCTCAACTCGAGCGCCATACCTCCAGCTCCGCTGGTGCGGCCCAAGGCTTCGGGCACTCCGATGCGGAAAACTATCCAAGACCTCCCGCCCCAAACTCTTCGACGCCGGGCTCTCACGCACCCCAATCAGGCGGGCAACCTCCCCCACCATTCGGCTGTCCACCGGCACACTCGTTCGCTCGCGAAGCCTCACACTCACACTCGCACCTCGTCTCACCACCGCCCACCGCCTCTCCGGGCGCCAGCCGCAAGCGAAAGCGCGATGACACCGCCGATGTGAATCCCGTGGCTGAGCGGCCCGCGAAACGCCAATCCCTCCCTACACTCTCTGCCGCAGTGTTGAAGGAACACCAGCTGGCGCAGTGTGAGACAACCGGCATGCTCCAGTCCTTTCTCGAGGTCAACGCGCGTCGCAACGACAACAACGACCCTACAAACCCCGCCTTTCCGTCTGGGGATGCTGATCCCAAGGTGGATGATGGATCAGAACCATGCCCAGCTGACGGCGCCGACGGCAAGAGTAGCCTTCTTACAAACAGCTCCTCTGCGCGTTCCAATTCCTCCACCTTTGCCAAGGAATGTATATGGCGATGGAGTGGGCCAGGAGGAACAAGTGCGAGCAACATCGAGCGCTGGAAAGGGCTGCTGTTGCGTGCGGATGCGTCTTCGCAGTCTTGACATTGGGTGGCTGTAGTAATTATGCAATAACTTTATGACATGACCTTGTCTATTTGGCCTACACCTTGCCTTCCTCCCCAAGCTGCTCTAAACTCTCTGGAATAGCTGCAGAGAAGCTCGAATATCTGTAGACGTTCTCATGCATGTCCTTGGAGTACCTAATCTATCTTTTAGCAATGTCCTTGCGGCGGTTTTCGGCATTAATTTCGAGCGTAGAGAGATGCTAGCACGAACATCAAAACTTTAGACGGAAATTATTTTGCCCAATTAACGAGCTCGCATTCGCTCCAGCTACTGCAGCGAAGGCTTGCTTCCCAGAGCCAACCACGCCCTGCGTAGGCACTGCTCAACTTTGTATGCCCGTCGCATGCCATTCTGAGTAACTGCCGCGCGATTTTAGGTGGATGCGTTGGTAGGTGGTGCAGCCGCGCAGACGGTAATTTCGCGGCAAAAGCCAGGGCGAACGCTCGCTGCATCGCCCAACCACTACGCCATGCCCACGCGGAAAAAGAAGAGGCCTCCTAGGGGCTCACCAGCACCACTATTAAATTCTCTGCGTAGCTAGCAACAACGACGACGGTGCTCTGGCTGCTAGCTTGGCCCGTGCTAGATGGCGGGGATGCGATAGAATGCTAGAGTGCAGCTCCTGCCATGCGTCGCCATTTTGGGGCTTCTTGGCACCTCAAAATAGTCGTATGAGGAAAGCGCACGCCGCGGTGTCTCCGGGTAAGGATGTGGCATTTATAGGAAGCGTTCGCTCTCGTTGAGGTGCTTGAAATTGCTTGGAAAGATTTGCTGGAAGCCTGCGACGTCGCAGTGTTGGTAGGTTAGGCGGTGCCATGCGATGCCGTTTTAGGGCTACGAGTGACTCCAAAATGGCTAGCGGCCCCAAAATGGCATCGTGGGAAATGCGCACCTGGGCATGGCCATTCTCTCTGGATTCGAGCGCAGGTTTCAGCCCGCACATTGCCATTTTGTCTGAGCTAGGCGAGCGCATTTTCGCGGTTTCGCACGACTCAGATCTCGCTGTGGTGGAGTTCTTGCCATACATTACCATTTTGGGGTGCCCAGCGATCCCAAAATGGCAGCGTGGGGAAAGCGCGGGGCATCACGATTCTCCTACACGATCACTCCCTATCCACATTTCTGCCATACATTCACAATCACGAACGCTCGGCTGTTCCTGCTGGACGTTGCCATTTTGGGGCTATCTGCCACCCCATAATGGTACTTTGGAAAGGGCGCACCAGGGGATACCACCATCACTCCCCTCCGTGCTCTACGCGCTCACTGCACGACTTTGCTATCGCTGTCGCATACATTTCTGAGCGACTGCAGCGCAATTTTGGGTAAAAATAATGTGTTGGCAGCTCTCTGCACCGTTCGATGCGGGTGGGAAGCGCTGGGGCACTTTAGCGAGCTGCAGTGGCTGAGGCAATGGGGCGGTGTCATTAGTCAGCGCAATCCCGCGTCCCATCTCCAACCACCAGCCGCATCATCAATCAACCTCACCCATCGAGATGCAACAACCCCCACTCCCGCCTCCGCCTCTGCCTGCTGCGAACCCTAAGCCGCGCCTCCGCCCGCATCCGCAGCCGTCGAGTGCCGCATGGCGCCCTTCCAAACGCCATCGCAGCTCGCAATCGCACTCACGACCGTCGTCCGACTCTTCCAGGAACAGTCGCGCCTTCAGCTCGGCTACGAAGCAGGCCCTGCAGGAGCTCTACGGCGCGCTGTGCTGGCACTGCGACAGCGGCAAGCCCGACGTGGCCCACATCTTCGCCGTCGACGATGACACGGTAAGCCGCGCGACGCAAGGCCTGCGCCAGGCGACGCAGACCTGCCCGCCTGCTAACAAGTGCCTAGTTCGACGACTACAAAGAGCTCGGCCTGCTGAACCTCGAGTCGCACCACAGTCGCGACAACGGCATCCTCCTGTGCGGCACCTGCCATCGCCATTACGACCTCACATGGAAACCCGTCCTCCTCATCGTTCCCACCCACCTCGATTTCTTCCGCGAAGCCGAAATACGCTGGCAGACACTATATCGCGAGAGCGCCGGTCCCCGCATCGTCCCGACGGCAGAGGCATACCACGGGTACTCGTTCCCGCCGCAGCAAGCTGGGCACGACGGTCCTGAGTACGGCGGTCTGTTTTCGACATATGCAGACTCCGACTTCATTGGCCCAGCCACATACCACGGTGATGGATACTTTGCACCCAGGCAGTGGCATGGAGATCCCATGGCTATCATCTACCGGGCAATACGGGCTGCCGAGAGGCTGATCCGGCCTCGGGGCTTGCCGTTGGCTGTGAGAAGGCGCATCCTGGAGCTTCGCGACTTGTATGAGCAGGGGAACAGGCTGCTGGACGAGCCGCTGCAGGCTGGGCATGCGAACTATCCACAACAGGGCCCGGCGGACGGCGCAGACGCATTCAGTCCCGATTCCGCAGGCCTACATCCACCAGACACTGGCTCTGGCGACTTTCCTCCCCCAAGAGCTCCTCCCCCATTCCCGAGCCATGATGGTAATAATCACGGCCAGAAACGCTCATCGCAGCCTCCGCCTGCAGCAGACCACCAGTCGGCGGTCCATGACATGCTGCCTGGGCCACTCTCTCCTCCGAATAGCGTCCTGTCGCCGTCCCCACGCAACGGGAAGCGCACACGCAGCGAGCAGGAACACAAAGAGTCCGAGGAGGCGTCTCCAAAACGGCTGCGAACAACGGTGGACGAGAAGAGCACCGGCAAGCTCACCAACATCCTTCCAGGCATCCAGGACAGATTCGACTCGTCTCCAGATGCCGCATCCATGTCTAGGCGCGCCGACGTCTCCGGCTCAGATGCTAGCGGTTCTGCTGCTTTCACCGTGCCAGATGACAAGGGGATCCAGCGTTGGCAGTGGGGCCCTCAGTGGAGGACTGAGGAGATCGTGGCCCATCGAATGAAGATTTTGTATTGGTGGATGACACCAGAAGGCGCGTTGGGCGGAATTGGAGAGACTCGAGAAGGGAACGTGGTCCGATCGTCTCCGTAGTGGATTGTCCAAGCGCCGAACCAAGGTGGAATGTTGACTCAGGATGATGATGACCAGGTGGTCGACTCCACACAGTCCTTCTTTGAGGATGCCGTGCTGGTGGGAAGGAACCTCAGCGCAGAGAGACGAAGGAGTTGAGAGCGGAGGGACAAGCGAGGCAAGTATGCCACTGTCTTCATCGAGCCATAGCTGACATATACCAGCAGCAAAGGGAACCAGCCTCTGCCGAGCCAATTCTCCGTCTTCGTCCGTCCTACGAGCATCCGCATCCGCATCCTCGCCGCCTCCCCCCACAGCGTGTATGGGGACCTTCTCTCCATCGGCAATGTACGCATGGCTACCCCAGCCCTATACTCCTACTGCCGGAGGTAGGTCGTCGGTGGAGATGGGCTGCTCGTAGTGGACAGGACTAAGTAACAGGAGTCACGAAGGTGAAGAAGAGGTCGAACAAGGAGCTACCTCCTGTTCCCGCGCAGGTTCATGGTCACTGCCCCAGTAGCCTGCCCAAAGCCTAATGAACTAGTCCGCGACACTCATTAAGCTCATAAACGCGTCCGCTTCCGTCGCCGTAGTCAGAGATTGTTACCGCCCTCAACTTTAAGACCTGCGAACTCATTCTGGTAACGAGCATGGCAAACATCTTTCCCACTGTGCCCGCAATTAAGGTTATGAATGTGGTCATGGGTTACAAGGTGGGGAACCACCCGGGCTGCTCAGGAGCAGCCTCTTGATATTGCGTCGGTGGTGGGTGGTTAGAGTGGTTATCTGACCCGCAGTCAATCAATATACAAGAGCAAGCTGGCCATAACTCTCACGTAGGAAGGAATCGAATGTATCGCAGCAACAATGCAGACTTTTCCCTATGTAGTAGGGGTGTGTGTTGGTTGCCGCCTCTCTCACGGAGAAAGACGGCATACTTATAGCCCATGCATCGCCAAGAAACTCAGTAGCCATGTTACCATGGCGCAATATTCCTCCTCGGTGGTGTGGAAGGGCTCGTCTCCAATAGGAGCGGGTCCGTGACCACCAACATGGCTCAGATGTCCAAGGGCATGTTAGCCTACCTATCTCGGCTCATTAGGTTCAAGGAAGCCAAGGCACCGTCTATTAATTTTGCGTCAAGCCCACATTGGATGACGAGCGGCTGAAGGTGAAGTAGAGTACTCACATCAGCCCGCACTTGCTCATGAACGCACCTATTTGGTTGGCCGAATGGCTGGCCTTGTGGCAGTGAGCATCGGCAAGGAGACGACGAGCGGCCTGGGGGACGTACAGGCATAAGGCCGCGTGTGGTTTAGGCATGCGACTGCGGCAAGGGGTATACCCTCAGTCGACTGCTTCACCATGGAGATTGCCAGCTCGGCTCCAGTTGGCAACCTGACCCTCAGAGTGGTTAGGGCGAGATACGGCATCAGAGCCTCCTGCTCATCTCCATGGCTAGGTTCCTGACCTCCAGCGGAAACTGAGACGGCATCAACAACTAAAGAAGCCATCGTTTCCAGCTTCCGCGTGCAGAAGGTGCTCTGAAACGGAATGGCGCAGGGACTTCACATTATACCGCTGATGCTGCACTGTGCGGGCTCTGGGGTTATGAGGCACGCCTAGAGCTCTCATCTAGTCTTCTCTAGTGGTCGTGTTGCGGCACTTATAGGCTGTTGACTTGTCGATGATTAGAGAACCATAATTTTATAGAATTTCATACCTCTCGTACGCGGCAGGAACATCCTATTAAGCGTTTACTAGACTTCACATCGAGGGCGATGAGCTGCCTATTCACGGGGACAGTACGCATTCGTAGAGATGGTATCGCGCTCAGTTGTGTGCCAATCGTTGCACCTTCGTGAATCCTCCTTCTCCCGCTTCCGCTCATCCCCCCCTTGTCCAAACGCACCAACCTCAACCGCGCCGCAGCTGGCCTGCCCAGACATACTATCACCAAACTCACCTCGACGTTAAACAGCTATCTCTGCAAGTGTTCCAGGGCCCATCGGCAGGCATCCGCAAGTTCCAGCCCCACGCTGAGTTGCCCTGCTCAACGATATCGTGCGGCTCGCGCGGCATATTCTGTCCATCACTGCGAAAGTCCCTTCCAGTCCTGGGTTAGACGCCATGCTACAGCACTGCTAGCACTTCGAGAAGCCGAACATGGAAAAGTGCCACATACTTTCCAAGATAGCGGTACCTTTGTGTGGGCCGCGAAGTTCTCTCTCCTAACAACGTCACACAACTGCTTCGCCGCCCGAGTAGATAGCCCCTCGTAATATGCTAGCCTTGTTACTTAGCAGCCACAGCAAGCTCGCCGGTAATACCGCTGTAGCTAGGAGAGCGGTATCGAACACCTACACTATACGAACTAGCAACTGGCAGATATAGACAAATATAAAGCAAGGCGAAGGCAAGATTAATGGATTAGGCCAAGGATTCGGCGACGCATGCTCCACACTTAGGGAGCTGCATGAGCTCCAGGTAATCCTTAAGCGGACCAAGTGGTTTACAACTATGGCAGACAGTGGCCTATATTCGCACATTAGGTTGAGGGGAGGAAGGAGAAGGAGAAGGGAGTGGAAACATAAGTAGAGCAAAGATTGGAGTTCATGGCAGAGTTGCCAGTACCAGGGATAGAAAAGACGCAGCTTCAGCCAACCTGAACCGAACCTCAAATGTCGCATCCCCACCTGGGTAAACGCGGCTCACCGCCACCTGTATTGAATTACTTCTTTGTATCGCACGTAACTACAAGGAACAGAATAGGTAGAAGCAGATCCAGCCTCCATCCGCGGAAGCGAGGCACCTTGGACTACCCAGAAGACAGCGCGCCGCCACTCCGCAAACCGAAGGCCTAGCTGCGGACTCAGGTATGCCACACGCGCATCTCATTGAATGCCGAAGATGCGTGGACACCGCGTTTTCTGAGCATGGCCCCTTTCCCAGGGCATGGTTACACATTAATTAAGCAAGGAAACGCTCACCACGAAACGATCCTATCGCACAGCTCAAGCGCGGCGACTACATGAGTACTACTCAAAGCAAATTACACAACTAAGCTTCTTGATGCCACCTCGTAAGGAGGCATTACGCAGCGAGCCCCCAGAAGTCCACATAACTACCCCAACAACGAGTAAGGCCCAAAAACCGTAGGCGAACAACGAAACTAAGCACAGCGCTTCTCCTGAGCCGGCTCTGCGCGCGAACGACCTCGTATTACGTTATTTGTAGCGGCGCGGGACAGGGATACCACTGACAAACGCTGCGCCCATGCGCGCAAAAGCATACATCCCACATAAGTCAGCCTGGAAGCTATGTACCCTAGCGGAAATCCCCTTTCTCCAATCGCAGGTGATGAGCGCGGATTGAACAATCACCGTCCAAGACCAGCTTTTTCTTCTTTCATTACGTTAATCAGAAAGGAACACCATTCCTAGCAGGATATGAAGATTATAGAACAGCCGGAATTCAAACAGGACCTCTGGCCCCTCAATGGCTCCTTCCCAAGCGCCACCTGCTTGCTCAAGCTCCAGCATCCACCTCCTTCGTCCATCTGACCTTGAATCATTTCACATACTCATGTACCGCATTTCTACCGGCGTCCAATAAGAAAGGGTTGCAGAGAAACCCAAGAGCTCTATAAGGCTTCCTGTGGTCAGCTTTAGGCCAGGCCCTACGCTGCGTGATGATGCAAGGCCCATAGTAAGACTAAATTACGAAAACAGCAGTTGATCCGCGGTCCCACAATGCGACACATTTGCCATTAGCGCGTTGGAAGGGCAAAGGAACGCTCTATTTATCAGGCTATCCTAGTTCTCCATGCACGCGTTAGTAACACAGGCGTTGCTTAAGCACCAGAGCAACAACGCAAATTATCCAACATTATAGCCAGGGATGGGAGGGGCTTCTTCTGATCGCGCGGTTTGGTAATCCCAATAAGATTGTAGTCTATCCTTTGGGGTAGTGGGGAGGTAGGACGACGGCGGGATGAGTAGTTGGCCAAGGTAGGTTTTGATAGGCATTTGCGGCAGTTTCGATGCGGCCCCGTGGGAGCGGCTGAGGGCTTCGAGGTTAGACTTTGTAGCGGGCGGGAGCTACATAGTCTACAGCTTCTTGCACTTACTCAATTTAAGGCGTCCACTAGAAGAAGTTCATGCTTCATCCACGCCTTAATTCGGAATTAAGGAACAGCGCACTTGAAGATGCGCCGCCGGTGGGCGTGACCGCATTTCATCCAGGGAATAATCGAAAGACGGGTAGTTATCCCGTACAGCATTCTAGCGCCAGGTTGTGAAGTCCATAGTTACGACCATGCGAGAAGCGAAGTCAAATGGGCTAGAACTGAGACTTCTACCTAGTACAGGCTGAGCATTCGTTTACCATGCTGCAGCACTCCTGGCGATGCTGAAGTAGGATATGCTCGCATCAAGCTCGTGTGTCATGGAGCATTATAAGAAGACGGGAATAATCTGGAAACACAGGTAATGTCCAAGAAGTTAATCTTAGGATAAGAATGAGGGTGGCAGGATCAGAGCTGTATATTTCCCTACTAGACTAGGGTCTTTCGAGCCATCCATGGTTGAAATTATTCGATTGATATGCCGATAGTAGAGGAAGGTAGTAGAGGGGACGAGAGGCCTCGAATGCGACTTAGAGATAAGGTAAAAGGTGAGACGGCAGTGTACCACTACCTAGGTTTCTTAGATAGGGCAGGTGTCGTCGGCGAACGCTCGAACACGCGTCTGTAAGCAAGGAAGATCCCAGGGCGCTATTAGGCGATGTAGCCACGAGTTCAGCACGCGTACTTGGTCTCTACACACCCGTCGGTAACAGACAACGTTGCAGTTCGTGGATAAGGGCGACCGCTTCACAGAGAACGGCTTCTTATGCAGGCGATTAACCACAGAGTATCGCTAATGCTAACGCCGGCGCTCGCTGTGGCTTCTGCGCCAGACATGGAAAAGCAGGGTTCTCAACTATCGCTTCGACACAGGTGGAAGTCGAGCTTACTAAGAGAGTATGGTAAAAGCGCGGCGTTAAGGAGAATTAGGAGGCCTCCGTCGTTCGCCATCCCTTAAGAGTAGGTTGCGACTATAGGCAGAGTCAGCGCTAAGCTAGAGCTAGGACATGGCTATCCGCAACCGCCATCAGCCCAGGCCTAATTAATTCAGCGTGGGCGGTATACGTCTTCGTCGTGCATCAGTAGCAAAATAGCGGAGCTTTATTATCGAGATAGAATAACTAGATACACTAACCAATCACCAACTACTCCAGGACCTGGGTATCTTCTAAACTACCCTTCTAATGTGTAAGGGCTAGGTTCGCGGTCTCTACTGCTGTAAGCGTCCCCAAACACCTAGCTAGGTAAGTTAGCTGCAGGCAGCACT